AATAATATTCAAGCGTATTAATTATTAATATTGAAAAAATCGTTTCTAAATTTAACCACTCAGTTTGTGAAAGATTTGTTTGGGTTTGCATCCCAACTCTTTTGTCATTAAACTAGAAGTTTTTAGCAGTAAATTTATGCAAAACTGCTGCACTCAAAAAAACACTACAATGTGGACATCCACTTTGTCCTAAACCCCATCCCCCCCCTTTTCCACTTTAGTCCACTTTTTGCTGAACCCCCCCTCCCCCCTTTTGTGTGGACGTCTTTTATGGATGACCCCTATGCGACAGTGTAACTATAATAATAAAACACAATAGCTGCCCCTGATTACCTGAGTGAGACCAAAAGCCCCGAGCAGGTCTCCGGGTGACTTCTGACCTTTGTAGATCAGGTTCAAAGGTCGCAAACTCAATATGTGACTGTAAATCTTGTTACGCAAGGTCTGAGGAGAGTGCAGACAAAATTACAAGTTTGAGAATTCAAATTTCCTTTTAATGCCCTTTACGTCTCACTTCGTCCATTGACAACAAGGCTTTTGACTAACAACTTTCGCTATTCAGCACTTTCAAGCTGCTTCTTGTGTGTTCAGGACTCACTCCAGTAGGCTTAAACTTAAATTATAAATTACAATCTTAGGCAAGTTGTTAGGAACCACTTATTAAGCATCATTTGATGACCCTCAATTTCATTGGTTGAATTATGCTTATCAACAGAAAAGATCAAATGCTACGGTGGCTCTACCTTCTCAGGGAAGTTGATGAAATAGTTGGTCTGATCGATGAGGAATACTTCCAGGGCGCTACGTCTCAGATTGTATCTACGGAAGTGAATTTCCCGAAGTCAAGACAAAGACCACTTAAAATCTTCACCTCCTGAAAACACAAAACAGAATTAGTAAAATATTTAACTGCTTTTTTTTAAAACAATTAAACAATTTTTTTTGTTGCTATCACATGATCCCATGAGAAAGGATTCTGAGTGTGTAGAGACATTTTTTTAAAAAGTAGACTGTCCCTCTCACTTTAAGTAGTTGTACATACATTTTAAAAGTAGAATGTCACGGTCACTTGAAGTATTTGTATAGAAATTTTTTTAAAGTAGACTGTCACTTGAAGTAGTTGAAGAGATATTAAGTAAAAGTACTTTTTTAAAAATAATTTCTTAATTTGGGAAAGCAACATTAAAAAACTGTCATCCCCATCTTAAATGAGTATTGTGAAAAAAAAATAAAATGGAAAGACCCTTACAATTTTAAACTACATTCTTTTTTAAATTTCCAAGCAGATACATGAAGCCACACTGTGTCAGGAGGAAAAAAAAAACGTGAACCCTTCTTATAATGATGAAAAACACTTACATCAATTTAAAAAATACAACTCACTTTAGTCCTGACATATTTACCCCCCAAAAAATGAATGGCCCTTAATAAGATATAACATTACATAAGAATTAAAATGAGTTTAGGAATTTTAAAAAATTGATAGATATTTACAATTAGTTTCCACCATTTTAAAAAGGGTTCCATTTTTATCAGGACACAATCATGGATTTAACAGAGCCTGCAAGATTAGCTGGTAGAAGTTATGTGCTTTGGGTCAGCTCACTATGATGGGTGAAAGCTGATTTAACAGGGGTCAAGGTTGTCCATCCGAACAGATTGAACAAAAGGCCAAATATTTTTAAAAAAAAGATCTTTAAAAAAACAATTTAAAAAAAAGTAATTTCATTTAAGAACAAATCTGCAGTTAGATACTTGGAAAAAAAAAGCAAATAAAAGAGCCCATCAACAGGAAATTCAAAAAAAAAAAAAGAAAAAAAAAAGAAAAAAAAAAAAAAAAAAAAAAATTAAAAAAAAAAAAAAAAAAAAAAAAAAAAATAAAAAAAAAAAAATACAAAAAAAAAAAAAACTACAATAAAAAACAAAAAAAAAAAAAAAAAAAAAAAAAACCCAAAAAAAAAAAAAAAAAAAAAAAAAAAAAAAAAAAAAAAGAAAAAAAAAAAGGGAACATTTTCATCCTTTAATTATCAATGTTTTCAATGCATGCAAACTTTGCCTTTGGGATAGACCTAATTTTCACGAATAATCTCCCCTTCGCTGTGCGTGCATAATTACACTTGTCAGTAGCAATTTTTATGTAAAATGACTCAGATGTTGAATTTGTTACCAGTTTAGATGTAATTAGACATAGAAATAATCATGCTAGCTGTAGTAATACAGATTTTTGTTTCAAAATGAATGAAAGAAAATACATTTTGACTGTCGCGACCAATCTATTAGCTCTACCGTCAGTTTATACCTGTAGTTTCAACGTAGTATGGGGAAAAATCAGGTGGAGAGTTTTATTATTTTTTTAACATATGCCCTTTGTGGATATGAGGTGTTAATGAGAATCACACAAACCGATGTGCAACCATGGTTAAACGAGGCTGTAGTACTATGAACGAATGGTGTCAGTACTATGCTGACTGATCTCTGTGACTCAACAAAACTGTGCTCAGTTTCTAAAATTTCAATCTTTGAACTTTGGACCAAAGTTCATTTTGAAAAGACCAATAGGGTTTCAGCTTCCTGTTGAACAATTTATTGCACTGCCAGTTAAGATTTCAATTCTGTGTCGTCACTGTCGTGTCATGTGAAAATATTGTTCTTTTCTAAATCCATTGAAAACCGCAAAGAATCATGTATGACTGTACAACTTTTAAAATTTGTTAACACTCGTACTAATTACTGACAAAATGTACAGGTTGGCATGTGTGGCTGAGTACTTCTAGTTTACACCATTGATGACAACATGTAAGTTAAAGCTACATACAATATAGTCTTAATTAACAATGCAGCACTTGTTTCCAAATAAAGTGTAGTTTTGGTTGGTTGAGGATGAATAAGTTTATGTTGATACTAGTGTCAAGGTCACACCTTGAAGCTGAGATGGCGCTCCACTCTTCATCTCCAAGTGTGTCGTCTGCAATGTTTTCTTTTGATACCAAAGCTTCTTTAACTCCCTTGAGTTCTTCTAAGCGGAGTGATGTCACAGAATCAATTGCTCCTCAAGATATCAAAATTTTGCCTGGGATGACAGGGAATCCCAATATTACAAAACCACATTATCCCCGAAATAACCTGGGACCCCTGTGTTAGAACACATACCCACATTGTCCATGAAGTGACAGGGGACTTCTTTATTACAGTACATACCCACATTGTCCCTGAGTTAGCTGGGGGCCCTGTGTTAAACATACCCACATTGTCCCTGAGTTGGCTGGGTTCCCTGTGTTAAACATACCCACATGGTCCCTGATTTGGCTGGGTTCCCTGTGTTAAACATACCCACATTGTCCCTTAGTTGGCTGGGGGCCTCTGTGTTATACACAACCACATTATCTTTGGGTTGGCTGGGAGCCCCTGAGTTATATACACCCACATTGTCCCTGAGTTGGCTTGGGGACCCTGTGCTATACACACCCACATTGTCCCTGGGGTGACTGGGGTCCCCTGTACTATACATACCCACATTGTCTCTGAGGTGGCTGGAGTCCCCTATGCTATACATACCCACATTGTCCCTGGGGTGGCTGGGGTCCCCTGTGCTATACATACCCACATTGTCCCTGAGTTGGCTGGCATTGATGTGACTATCAAAATTGTAGTTCTGGGTCAGTTTTACTTTCATGGGCTGGAAGTTTTCTTGGTTAGACAGTTTCCAGTGGACCACTTGTTGATGTCTGGAGAAAACAGGGGCACACAACAAATGTTTTTATAAGTTAGAGTTGTCTACCGATTCACATGACCTTCTAGAATATAAAGTTACCTCACTAAGAAAAATATCTGTTTGGGCAACTTAAAATATTCAACCAAGACCAGCAGTCCCAAAATATTTGCACAGCAGATATACTTTATAAAAGTGGCTCCTCAGTCCAAAAAGGTTGCAGATCCCTGGCTGAGACCATTCAAACAATGTGAGTCACCTGACCAGACTAAGAGACTTACTTGTCCTTCCAAGCCCCTCTTTCGCCTTTGAAGAATCTCTTGGTGGCCCTCCACTGTCTCAGTGAAAACAGGTGCAGATTTTTTTGCTGTGCCATCACGTTCTGGAACCTTCTGTTCTCATGGTCTACTTTCTTATGGTACTCAGTCTCTATCTGGTTCTGAATACTCATTCAGTGCTTTAAAAGTCATCAACTTAATATAGAAGTGCCATTGTTCCATTCCCACATCCAACCGGTGGTGGCAACATTTGTTCCATTTCCACATCCAAACGGTGGTGGCAACAATTGTTCCATTCCCACATCCAACCAGCGGTGGCAACAATTGTTCCATTCCAACATCCAACCAGTGGTGGCAACTATTGTTCCATTCCCACATCCAACCAGTGGTGGCAACAATTGTTCCATTCCAACCTCCAAACAGTGGTGGCAACAATTGTTCCATTCCAACATCCAAACAGTGGTGGCAACAATTGTTCCATTCCAACATCCAACCAGTGGTGGCAACAATTGTTCCATTCCCACATCCAACCAGTGGTGGCAACAATTGTTCCATTCCAACATCCAAACAGTAGTGGCAACAATTGTTCCATTCCAACATCCAACCAGTAGCCAAGGGAAAAAAAAAATCTCTCCCATGTTCATATTGCAATTTGTTATTTTGGACCATTTGACTGTTTGATTTCTGTCCATATTCTCTTTGATTATTTTATGTAAAATGTAAAAAAAAACAACAATTTTCCTTTCTTTGTGTCAATGCTAGTTTGCAGTTGATATTTTCAGTTGTTATGTCAATCAACATTTGTTTGGTTTTCAATAAATATCATTATTTGACATAATAATGATCATCCGCTAAAGCAATGTCTCCCTGTGTGAGGGTATATGCTCCGAAAGGGGGGGGGGGGAGCATATTATTTAATCGCTGAGAAAGAACCAATTAAAAAAGGGAAGAAAAGGGGAGGGGGGCAGACAGTATACTTTTAAAAGTTACTCCCTGCCTAATCCCTGCCTTTATTTGTAATGGCTTGATTTTCAAACACATGGCACTTGCTGTCAGTTTTGTTCTACAAATGTGGCTTGGCAAACTATGGCCAGGAGACCACATCCGGCCCACAACCTTTGTTGATCTTGCCCACAGAGTCAATAGTGATTATGAAGTGATGAATAATTCATGTCTGTGATTAGTAATTAGTATGCATGGCCCGATACATGTGCAGACATTGTGCAAGGAAGTAGACAAATCCATTGTATAATTTTATTTGGACAGGTAAAAAAATTAAAGTGTGTCAGAGCAAAGGGATGGCGGACAGAATAGGGTGTTTATGTTTTTGTTTTAGATGCTCAGCTCGGGCGATGGGGCAAAAAAATGATTGAGCAAAAACTGGGCTAGTGTTTACCTTACCAACTTACCTTAAATCCTGGCCTGCTCTCCCCTATCTCTTTGTTGTGTTTGTGATGGTTCATCATCATCTCCTCATGACAGTCTGACCAGAAGTGGATCATGGTCTGGGCACTCACCTCAAAGTTCATCTCAATGAAGTGGGTCATTTGGGGTCCAGCCTACAAGAACCACGACAACAATTATATGACGCTATTCATCAATGTAAAAAAATATTCTACAAATGTATGCCATTCATCACTGCATACATTTTCTATGAATGTCTGCCATTCATCACTGCACACACATTCTATGAATGTCTGACATTCATCACTGCACACATACTTTCTACAAATGTCTGCCATTCATCACTGCACACATACATTTATGAATGTCTACCATTCATCACTGTACACACATTCTATGAATGTCTGCCAATGTACACATATTCCAAGTATGTCTACTCATCACTGGACACACACTCGATGAATGTCTGCCATGTACACATACTCACATAGCTCTTTATAAACATCTGCCATTCATCACTGTACACGTATGTCTTGAAGTCATCAAAAAATGTGGGACTCATGGATGACTTGGGAAGATGAGGGAGATGAATGCTGGTGGTCAAGAGTTCTTGACCTTTCTCAATCAAAGCTCTCAACACACGCATCAGGTAGGCATAGTTGTCTGAGTTGGCAAGAGAAATCAATGCATTAAATAGTGCTTATTCAGTTCTCTGTAACATTGAGATGAATTTTTGTTAATAGATGTTTAACAGTCGGGTATCTGATATTGTTTTGAAATTTGAATAGTTTTGTTCCGGATATTATTTTGAATAGTAGGATATCTAATATTGTGGGGTAAATGAAAAAAGTTGCGTTTTGGGGGTAATAGAAACAAAGCTGAATAGTGATGTACCTAAATTTGTTACGCAAGTGAAGTAACTTATAAGTACCTTCAATGGACTTAATGATCATTGAGTTCAAGACCCCCAGGATGTAGGAAGCTTCGGCCAAGCTGCTGATGAGCTTGGTTTGGACGAGGGAGTGCAGCATGACAGTTGACGAGGATTCCAGCTGTGAAATAAGGGTCAAAATGAACACCGGAGAATAAACTGAAGCATGAATTGAAACTTAATAAGATTTTACTCAATAATACTTATATAGATGATTCAATCATCCAAAGATTTGACATTACTTTTTTTTTCTCTACAACTTTATAGTCATCCGCTCCTCTCATTGAGACGACGATGGTGAAGTTTTGCGCAACATGTGACTCTGAGATCTATTCACACAAGGTGTTTGGATTTTTGTTTTGATTTGCTCTTAACTCTCTGCAGTCTGACATTTTTTTCACATTTCTTAAAAATCTTAAGGTGATTTTTTAAAATAATTAATTAACTTATCTGAAGTAGCTCTGATCTGATTAGTTATATGTATTAAATTGTTCATCTTTGACTCAGCTATCATTATATATTTTTTGTATATTTTATTTTCTTAGTTATAAAAATAATTGAAACATTATTGGAGAATTAATTTTTTTCATTTTATGCAAAGTTTTGACAAAATTTTCACACCGTATGAAGGGGAAAAAAAATCCTTGTAATAAAAGATTTAAAATTTATTTAAATAAAATACTTCATCATCTAATACAATTCATAGTCAAACATGATAAACATTCTATGAACAATCAAAAAGTTGTCAACATTTTAGCAAAACCTATATTTTGTCTTTTTTTTCTAAAAAATGCACTATAATTTTTCTTTTCATTAAAATTATGTTTTGTATGTAATATATTTTAAAAAATGGGCTTCATAGCTTATAGATTTGTGTATTCAATATATTTCTTAATAATTCTTGAGTAAAAGATAACTAAGGAAAATTTGATGATTATATAAATAACTCAAAACAAGAGTCAATGTTGTTTTTGTTTTAAATTTTAAAATAGCGGTATTCCCTGATGTCAAAGTTAAAAAAAATTGTAATGTTTCAGTACATTAATGCTAATTTTGATATTAATGTCAAATATGATCCATTCCTCACTAATGTGATCTACTTTTTCCCATGTACTGGTATTTTTACATATCTTTGTTATAATACTCACATAACACAGGCCGATAAACTACAGTATTCCTTAATTATATTTATGGACTCTGAACAAATATTATTTCTTAAAACAGTCTGCAGTTTTATTATAATAATTATATTTGATAAATAAGAGCTTGTCCTGGACTTGATTTCATCATAAGATTAGTTAAGATTTTTCACCACAGAATATTCACTCAATAAAGAACCTGTGAAAAAAAAAATTTGATTGATTCATAATTAAATTAACACTAATGGTATCAGTAATAGTATGCTATCAGTAAGTAAAATACCATTAATCCTAGTCCAAATGCCTAAATTAGTATAAAAGTAAACCATTGTACATAGAAAATACATTATAACATATGTTATAACAATATTGTGAGTTTATTCTTTATGCATTTTGCTACCAAGTGATTGGATTAAAACTTACCACCACTAATTTTTAGGGTAAAATCTTTAAAGCTATTCATCCAGTAACTCTGTAACTCAGTAAAAGGGTGGAGTCCAGGCTTAATATTTAGGATCAATAAGGAATAAGGGCTTCTTGATCCAATATCTGCATTTTTATCTCTCTCTCCTCCTTCCCATTAGAGTTAAGAAGCTTTTAATAAAAACATAAATGTTTTGTTTTTTATTCTGCCGACAGTAGTCTCTACTAATACTAGTGACTAGCGATAATGATAATTAAATTTAAACACATTTCTATTATGTAATATTAGAAAATGTAGAAGATTATTCTTGGCTATAACATATTTAAAAGAAATATATTTAGTTAATAACTCAGATGTCCTTAACTTTAATTTTATTTTAAGTACGCAAGTTCTTATCGGCCGGAGTTTTCCGCTATTTTTAGAAAATATTTATTTCGCATAGCCACGCTTTTTATTTATTATAAAATTATTGAAACTCAATAAAATTCAAATAGAATATATCAATATAAGTATAAATGAATATTATATAATTCAGCCGATTAAAATTATAAAAATATCACTTTATTGTTTTATTATTAATTTTATAGTCGGGAAATGACAATTAAAACTAAACTTACTTGTTTACGATAGCATTAGTCGGTACTTTTATATGCAAATCGGGATAAATTTCATGATAAGAGTCTCCATTTGGATACATTACATTAGAAAAACAAATAATTCCGTGATAAATCGGGAAATTAAAATCATTTGACCATATTAATACCAGTAATAATTTTTTTTTGTGACACTAATATTATTTTGATTTTTGGAAATCGGCAAAGCTTTCAATGGATGCTCCGCGCTGACTAAGTTTCCAAAAATATTTTTTTTTAACAGTAATTTCAAATTTTGTAATAATTTTAATATTTTTACATATACTTAAACCAATGACACAAATTATTAAAATATAATATATAATTTTTTAAATTAAAAATTAAAATTAAAAAATAAATAACCCACCTACAAAATCTATGGTACATATAAGTATCATTTCTCTATAGTCGGACTGCAGAGAGTTCGGTACTGACCACACAGCCAACAAGTCAACCCTAATATCAAGTATCAATCCAAAATAACCAGCATCAACCCCAAATACCTAATATCTACCCCATATATCAATTATCAACACCAAATACCAATCATCAACTCCTAGTCATGCTATCAATGAAATGAGACAATATTTATATACCTCCTGATCTGGTTGCTTCGAAAATGCTAGCAGCACTGAGAACACTCTGTGGACCATCTCTGTCCAGGCAACCATAGCTTCTGTGTCCCAGACACCCAGAGCATCAAGCAGAGACATGACATCCTCAAGGAGCTGTAACATGCAAGTTTTAAGTGAGCTGTAACATACAAGTCTTAAGTGAGCGGTAAAATACAAGTCTTAAGTGAGCTGTAAAATACAAGTCGTAAGTGAGCTGTAACATACATGTCTTAGTGAGGTGTAACATGCAAGTTTTAAGTGAGCTGCAACATACAAGTCATAACTCTTTACATTCCTTTAATTTTGCAAGTTTTTCATGAGATTTCTAGTGACCTTAAAAAAGAGTCAATAACTTTTAGAATCCTTGTCTAAAGTTCATGATGTTATATATATTATTGTGGGGAGATGCATGAGGTTTCTAAAAATATTGTTTTCAAACACATAAAGTCAATACTTAAAAAGTTGTGAACAAAATAATGCAATTTTAAAAAAAATTAAAATGTTTTTTTTAAAATTGGTGATCACATGCAAAGAAGGAAAAAAACAAACCACATAAAATTATTTAATAAAATGTTTATTTAGAAAGCAAATTCATTTTCTTATATCATATGCATGATTTAGAACATTTCATGAGAATTTAACCAAAATATTTATTATTTTGTAAAATGTGTCAAAAAGGGGAAATAATTTTAAAAAAATAAAAATCACCGCCCCCCCACCAAGTATTCACAAAAATTACAGGTTATTTTTATTTTACCTTTTAAAAATTACTTCAAGGTTTTAAAAAGTAATAGAGGCTTTAAACTTCCTGGTACTGTTAGTCAGAAAGTTTCTTGTTATTTTAACAAAGATAAATTTACCATGCGCTATATTTGATTTATAATTTTATTTTCTTAGCATTCCTAATTTATAGCACTAGCACACTGACAATTGCTTTTAAAATCTATGCAGGAATTATTGCATTTAGTTTGTATTTGGTGTTATTTACATTTGCAGCACTTGGAACTGCATCCCTTTTAGTAAATCATCAAATGCTAAAATAATTTCCTCGGTGAAGTCGATTGAGAATAAAATGTCAGTTCATCTATATCATAGCTTTCTTTTGAACAATCCTGAAGAGATTATGGCTGGCTTTATCAACACAATGGAAAAAGGGATTAGTCCAGTGCTGTTCTCTTTACTTAGAATGATATATTCATTTATCAACTTGTCAACACCATACAGGTCACAGGAATGAATTGTATGATTTCAAAATCTGATTAGACAATATTTGGTTTTCTCCCCAATAATTGCCTAGAAATACACCATCAGTTTTGGTTTTGTTCACAAAAGAAAATCCATTTGCTGTCATATTATTTGAAATAAGTGAGGCTTGTCTAATTTTCTCTCCACTGAACATAGTATAAATTATTATCCATCACATCATATCACATTGCTTTGGTTTTTATCTTTATTTACTTCTGATAAAGTCTGACAAGTTCACTTTGCACTTAATAATAAAACATTGTTGCGGTTGACAAGTATTTTTGTACACTGAGGACTTGTACAGTTGACATGCACATTAGTAGTCCTAGAAATGTGTAAAAGTGGTATGTTATTGAGTTATCAACAAACCACAGTTGATGGAAGGTTTAGAAGGTCCCATGGTAGTTGAATAGGTGTATTTTACAAATGTTTCAACCAAATTCAGTGTGAAACATATCTTGAAAATCCTTAGACTTTAGGGTGCAGATTGTAGCCATGTTATGATGACATTTCTTCCCACACAAGTCAGCCTGGCTTTCTGGCTGGGGGAAACTTAGGAGTGGAAACCAGTGGGTCACCATCTCGAACCTCATACAAGCCTAGCCTGTGAATGTAAAAGAAGAACTAATATTATAGACCTATATGATGCAACTGTTAGGGATGCAATGAATATAAAATATATACTTACTTCAATTTCCAGTTTTTAATACTTCAAATACTGTCTAAAAACCATTATGACCAAAAAAATTAGTGTCAGATAATTAATTTTTTATAACACACATGGATGTCAAATTTCATGGTCTTTAGGATGAAATATATCATAATAAACAGTGCCGACTGCATTGTTTACATTCCTTAGCAACAGTTTCTAAGCATAACGTCTTCTAAAATTATTTATGTAATAAAATATTCGCAAATTATACAATGATTTTATTTGCGTAGATTCATTTTAAGATGGGTAGTTAATACTTCAATTATGATTAAAAATACAATTTAAACCGATAAAATAAAAATAAAAAATCTATAAAAAATATAGAATGACGAAACACTTGATTACTAACCTTCTAGTTTTAGTGACTATAATGGGCTATAAAGGCAGATTCTCATCAAAATCTGAATCAAAGTCACTAGATTCAGGTTCCCAACTATCTTCCCCAGATGTTTCAGATAAAATTTGATCAATATTTTCGTCAGTAGTATTCATTAAAATTTTGGGCTGCCGAGTCAACTAGAGTCTTGTACAAATTTTCCCAAAATGGCGAGTAATGCATCGGCATGTCACGTGAACCTCGAACTCGCAAAAAAATATCAATTATTATTAAAAATCTTTAAATATTATTTTTTTAATATATTTTTCTTCCAAATGTATGATAAAATAGGTATAGAACACTTAAAAAATAAAAAAGACAATATTTTATTAGCAAAAATAACCAACGTATTTAGTTGTACGCTCTCTATATAAGAGGAATGAAAAGAGTTAAATGAGCTGTAAAATACAAGTCTTAAGTGAGCTGTAAAATACAAGTCTTAAGTGAGCTGTAAAATACAAGTCTTAAGTGAGCTGTAAAATACAAGTCTTAAGTGAGCTGTAACATACAAGTCTTAAGTGAGCTGTAACATACAAGTCTTAGTGAGCTGTAACATGTAAGTCTTAATTCAGTTGTAACATAAAAGTCTTAAGTGAACTGTAACACCCAAGTCTTAAGTGAGCTGTGACATACAAGTCTTAAGTGAACTGTAACATACAAGTCTTAAGTGAGCTGTAACAAACAAGCTTTTTGAAACATTGTGCAGAATCCATATCAAATAGATGGCATGCACTTTGTAAAATATATTTACAATGGATTATGTGCATTCTTTCAAAAGGCTTAAATTAACAGTTGATCCTGTATTTTCATAACAAATATTAAAAAAAGAGAATCAGTTTGTTTCACTGTTTAACTTTATCTCGGCTGCCGATCATCACTGTCCCTTTCAAGTGTTTATGTTGTAGAAAAGCAAAAAGTAGCACTTCACTATCAGTATCATATTTACTGAAACAAACTTAACAGCTCACGGGGACTTACTCTGTTAGAGAAAGACTCAGGGGGGGCATCAGGCTTGGTGACAAAGCCCTGGACCAGGCGGATGAGTTCGAGTGCATTTTCTGAGAGGGCCGGTGGGGTCTGGACACCAGAACTTCGAATGTCCGTCATACAGTTGTGCAGCATCATCTCGGGGAGACGTCTCTTGATCTCCTCAGGGGGCCGGATCAGCTCATGGGACTCCCCGAGCTCATCTATCCAGGTAAACACCTGACATCTCTCCTGAGGATCAACAGTTAATAATAAGCCATTATCTCACAGATTTCTCTCCAAGCTCAAATACCCAGGTAAGCACCTGACATCTATTCTGGGGGATAAACATAAAAATAAGTACATTAGTTAATTTATTTTACAGGACTCTCTAAGCTCTTATACTAAAGTACATCTCTTCCAGGGGGGGGGGGAGGAGGAGAGGGGGGGGGGTGATAATCTCTCAAATTAAAAGACAGAAATGTTACCTACCTTCCATATCTCCTTGCTGGAGCCCTCAATACCTTTCCACATGATGGACACGAGTATTATAAGTATATTCTGGCAAAGTTCTTCTTTTTGTTCTATGGCATTGGTCAGCTGCACCCCAACATGGTCAAGGACCAAAGGACGTTGAGATGGAAGATAGAGACCAAGAAATAGTGGAATGATTTTTTTTTTCTCCCCCAAGTGTTGGGAAAGTCCCCCTTCAATTCCAGTTAAACTTGAATAAACTAGTTTTTAGTTCAGCCTCGAGTTTAAGCTTTTAAACTTTATCCAAAGGACTTGAGGTGGCTCTACAGTTTATAGAGGCGGCTCTACAGTTTATAGAGGCGGCTCTACAGTTTATAGAGGTGGCTCTACAGTGTATAGAGGCGGCTCTACAGTTTATAGAGGTGGCTCTATAGTTTATAGAGGCGGCTCTACAGTTTAAAAGGTGCCTCTACTGTTGATAGTGGTGCTGCTACTTTTTTGCCACATGATACTACATAACGTCAAACATGACCTCACCTGTCTGCTTGCCACAGATTGTATGTCTAGTCTAATGAAAGTGTCAAACATGATCTCACCTGTCTGCTTGCAACAGATTGTATGTCTAGTCTAATAAAAGTGTCAAACAAGACCTCACCTGTCTGCTTGCCACAGATTGTATGTCTAGTCTACTGAAAGTGTCAAACATGATCTGACCTGTCTGCTTGCCACAGATTGTATGTCTAGTCTACTGAAAGTGTCAAACATGATCTGACCTGTCTGCTTGCCACAGATTGTATGTCTAGTCTACTGAAAGTGTCAAACATGACCTCACCTGTCAGCTAGCCTCTGATTTAATGTCCAAAACACAACCGTGAACAAAGCCAAGGACAGATAACACTGCACTGTAGGTCTGGGGAGTTTCTGTGTAAACAAATGCAAACGTATTGGAATAGATGAAATATTCAATTGACATATTTTATGAAGAAGGGAAGGCTTTCAATTCAAAGATTTCATCATTTTCCCTTTCACCATTTCACTTTAAAGTATTATTCTAACAAAACTTGCAGCAGTCGCCATGACATTGCCATCAATAGTATAGAAAATTTTTTTTAAATTACCCGTAAAGGCCACTTGTTCAATGAAACGTTTGATCATAATGGGCCATCAAGTTGATGAGACCAGCATGGCCAATGTCTGACAGCTTCAGCCGGGACTTGTTTTTCTCATACACTCTCTCGGTCTTCAGGAGGATGAAGAGGATCTGAGTGATGTAGAACTGTTTATAAAGCTTTTCCTTGACATTCAATGACCTATATTTGCATATTTTAATACAGTACTCCAATTTAGATGGTGTATCACAGAGTCTTCTTTAATAACGGAGGTTAAAAAGTTTGATTGGCAGCCCTCATCATAAAAAAAAAATGACCTTACCCATAAGCCCATAAGAAACATTACGTAAGTCACACCTTGACCACCTTCTCATAGAATATAAATGGCTGGTGAGGGTGGGTCAACAGCTTGTAGAACATCTCTGCTTGGTTCTGCTCATACAGCAGCAGTACCAGCTGATCTTGTTTTCTACTTGGGCTCTCCAGCAGGGCTATCATGAGGTCCATGGCCTACAGGACCTGGGAGGGGGGGATCAGACATAAAACATAGGGCCTACATTAAGAATCCCAATAAGACAGTGTCCTGGCTGACTGGCATCAGCACCCAGCCCAAACTGTACAAGCTGGGAATGATAACTTAAAATGTTTATTATTGTTTTAAAACACCGAGAAAGGTCTTTCAGAAATTCTATCCCTTTTTCTTCTATATTTTGAGGGCGCACGATCAATGTATTATTCATTCTGTTTCAGAGTGGTTCCACAATTTAACTGTGCATGGTTTTGAAAGGGATACATCACTGGTTGCAAGGGCTACTCAGTGATGGTTTTATGAACTGAGGTTTGGAAGACAGGAGGCAACAGACGCAAATGTATCATTTGTAGGCGCCTAAACTGTTGCTTTTGGAAGCTTGTTCCAGTCCATGATTGTCTTTGGCAGGAATGAGCAGTTCCTGTACTGAGTTCTTGTTTTTATGAGCCGGACATGCCTGTCATGGCCTCATCGCTGTCTATGGGGGAGATGGATGAGTTTCTGTTTAATGCTGGAGCAGTGGACCAGCCCATTATTTATCTTATACATGATGGGGAGGAAATGTGTGTTAACTTATTTTATGGAAACCTAATGTCACAGATGTGAACATTTTTTTACTTTGATTCTACTTTTATGAATAAGCAAAACACTTTTGACGCTTTGCTGAAAGTACAACAGTTCAGGTGAGCGGAAAAAAAGAATATATTTATGAAGATGTTAGCACCACACATATAGGTATTTTGATTCTTTTTTAAAAAAAATATTTAAACCTGTGTTCATTCATAACTGAAACAAACAACGTGGCGCAGCACAGCCGGGCGGCACACCGTTGGCTCACCAGTGATGGTTGTTTGACGGACAGAATAAATCCTATGAGCTGGGTCAGCTCCTCCACCGTGATGCTGTTCATGATGTAGAACTTGATGAGCTGCAGGAGGGACACGCCTATGGACTTGCTGTCCTCTTCACTTAACCCGTTGTCGGCAGTTGTGCTGAAATAACAACATCAAACAACTTGATCTAGCTCTACAACGGGACTCAGAAAAATAATTGATGAACAATTTTAAAATTTATATTTGAATTTAATTCAAATAAATGTAGCTCTCATTGCTGAGGTGACGGATGGCAATGAAATACGTTGTCTGTTGTTCATACAATATTTGTCCTTATACTTTCATTGGGAGCACTACACTAGACACTGAAACCTGCTCTAATGCCATTAGATACCCATATTGGCTACAAAAAAAAAAAGTCCCAAACTGTATCTGTTGCAATTTTCCTTCTTTTGTACATGAAAATATAAACACTAAAAAAATTTGTCCAACACAATTAGTCAAAAATATATTTATACAGTCTCGACCATCAAGAAAAAAAAGACTGAAACATGATAAAAGGTAGGCAAACACCAACAAAGTGACCAGTGTCCAAGATTACCCGTAGTATGCTCTGATGATATCCAGGAAAAACTGCACACCATACTTCTTTCGGAAATATTTGCGATCTTCTTTGATGATGTGGATAGATACTGGATGTGTCCTAGGAAACAATATTTATATATTTTTTTAAATTAAACAGTTGCTCAATCAAATGCACACACATTTAATCTCATCCAGCCCTTTAGTTTTAATATCCAATTTTTTTTTTTACATATTCTAACTGGAAAATGTTTTGCTTTTTGCTACATATTCTAACTGGAAAATGTGTCTAGATTTTTAAAAAAATATTCTAACTGGAGGATGTGTCTTGCTTTTTGTTACATATTCTAACTGCAAAGTGTGTCTTGCTCCACATTGAGAAGTCAAACAGGATGTAGTGGTAGATGTGTTGCAGAAGTGTTGACTTCACACTGGGTGTGTCGTTACAATCCTCTATCAGGTACTGGATTGACATCAGAACTGTCACATCCATCATGTCACGATGAACCTGACAGTAGTGACACTCAAACATGATTGGGTCAATTTAATCTAGGGATTTAGGTTGGAGTTGAAAAACATAATTCAAAATTTGAGTCTATAACTTAAATCTTAAAAGGGTAAGGGGTCGTTCACAAATTACGTCACATTTGGGGGTGGTGGGGGGGGGGGGATTTGTGACACTTGGGACAGGGGAGGGGTGGAAAAAATTTTTGGCGTCACAAAATAAAGAAAGTCAAACAATCTAAAATGTTCTAATTTTAAAAACTCTTTATTCTTAAATCTTAAAAGGGTAAGGGGTCGTTCACAAATTACGTCACATTTGGGGGTGGTGGGGGGGGGGGATTTGTGACACTTGGGACAGGGGAGGGGGGTAAAAAATTTATGGCGTCACAAAATAAAGAAAGTCAAACAATCTAAAATGTTCTAATTTTAAAAACTCTTTATTCAATTAATTTTAAAAACATTCATTTTCTATGTCGAAATTGCCTCTGGTATTATAGGTAAAAAAAATGACGCATTAACTGATGTGGCCATTTTACTTTTGGCTCGGTGATGACTTTGTTTTGCATTTTACGTCACAGTTTTTTAATAATACTGCATCTTAATCCCTTATGAGAAAATGTTAACGAATAAAATAAAATCTTAGTTTAGTTATGAAATTTTATGCTTGTTTTGGATTTTTTTAGGTGTTACGTTACACGAAGTTGGTGGTAAAGAATTTCTGACACTTTATGATGAGGGGAGGGGGGTCTGAAAAGGTCATTTTGAGTGTGACGTAATATGCAAACGACCCTTAAGTAAATTATGTCCCTTATACATGTTTTAATTTCACATTTAAAGACATTTATGTCTCAGTAGGTTTGTCAACATTTTCTTACATTCTGCAAAGTTGAAGCACAATGGGTCCTGACAAAGTTGTCTTTGTTGACTGAGCACATCCCTCAGCATGGTAATGAAAGCCGCCAGCTGGTTGTGTTTAAGTTTCAGCTCTGGAGGGAGCCAAGTTCACAAACATCAAGCAATGACAGGTACAGCGGAATCAAGCAATTACAGGTACAGTGAAAACAAACAATTACAGGTACATTGAAAACAAACAATTACAGGTACAGTAAAAACAAACAATTACAGGTACAATGTAAATAATTACAGGTACAGTGAAAACAAACAATTACAGGTGCAGTGGAAACAAACCATTACAGGTACAATGTAAACAATTACAGGTACAGTGAAAACAAACAATTACAGGTACAACATAAACAATTACAAGTGCAGTGGAAACAAACAATTACAGGTATAGTGGAAACAAACAATTGCAGGTACATTGTAAACAATTACAGGTACAGTGAAAACAAACAATTACAGGTGCAGTGGAAAGAATTACAGGCACAATGTAAACAATTACATTTTTTTTTACATCACAAACACATACAACTAGTCTAACTTCAACACCAAATAGCTCACTAATAAAAAAACTGTGTTCTTTAAATGAAAGTATCTATCTCATCCATGTAAAAAAACAATCATACTGACACAGAATAATGTCAAACCTCACCACTACACAAGCCGCTGTTAATGTCATCTGAATTTATAGACCCCACTTATCACATTATAGCAGGGCGCCAGAACTTATGACTAATAGCAAAAATAAGCTTTTACTACTAGCAATTATACGCTTTTACTACTAGCAGTTATACACTTTTACTACTAGCAGTTATACACTTTTACTATTGCAATTATAGGCTTTTACTACTAGCAGTTGTACGCTTTTACTACTAGCAATTATACGCTTTCACTACTAGCAATTATACACTTTTACTACTAGCAATTATACGCTTTTACTAATAGCAATTATACGCTTGTAGCAATGACATCCTTAGGTGACATATGAGGCATAGCTATAATATTTTGCGACCAGGGACAAACTATAAAATTGGCGCCCCACCACCCCCCCCCCCCCCCCCCTTAATCACATTTTTCTATTACATTGAATAAGGAAAACAATTTAAATTTGAATCAAACATTCTATTTAAAGAAGCAAATTTATAGAACTTATAGTACATGACCCACTCAGTGTATGTCCTAGACTGGTTTACATAGTCTACAAAAAGTTTATTTTTCTTGATGTTAATTAATGTCACAAACTGGTTCATTGCGCAATCAATATCTGTTTTTTCCAATGTTTCTCTTTGAATGCTAAGAAGAGCAAGATCTCTGAGACGATCCTCTCCCATTAATGCGAGGCAAATGCGACAAAATAAGTAGGCTATCAGATGACACGTCTGCTGAGCCGCTGCACTGATCTTGTGACCAATTTATTACCCTTGTTTGCTTATTATAATGCAACATTGTAGCCTCATTTTGGCGCGCCCGTACTTTGGTGCCCCTGTACTTTGGTGCCCCTGTACCTTGGCACCCGAGGACATATCTACCCCCCACTCCCCAACTACGCCTCAGCCTTGATGAAATAAATATGATATAAATTATAGAATTTTAAATTCAAGAAAATATTTTTGTTATATGGATTAAATGTTTATAACAGCAATCAAGTTTCTAAATAATCAAATTAATAGTTTACCCGATGAAACAGATGTGCCTGAGGTGACCACGGCCCACTCATCAAGGTCAAGTTTATAGGCCTCTGTTTTGGTTGGTGAACTCGGGCTCTCCACGGGCATCTCTACGGCTGTCTGATCCAGTATCTCCAGCAAGTGAAATAACACTTGTATGCCTCTAAGGCAGTTGATAACATCCTATAGTTGACATTGTTGAAGAGGGCAAACCAAAAGCATATTGATAAAATTAATGCCCGTTGAATTGGGGGGGGGGGGATTTACTCTCAAAAGACGAGAGATTGAAAAATCTGTCATATATGGCGGGGGAAAAAAATGACCCCTAATATATATATAAAAATAATATTAAAAGGCGAAAATAAAGATTTTGGAATGTTAAAAATCGGTAGAGGGAAAAACAAAAGCAAATTGAAAAAATTAATGCCCGGTGAATTGGGGGGGGGGGGGATTTACTCTCAAAAGATGAGAGATTGAAATATCTGTCATATATGGCGGGTGAAAAAAATGACCCCTAATATATATATAAAAATAATATTAAAAGGCGAAAATAAAGATTTTGGAATGTTAAATTTCTATTTGGCAATAAAGAAAAATTGTTAACTCTTCTAGTTCTTGAAGAAATCTGGTAGCAACTTGTCCATTCATAAATTTTCCTTTAGGCCATTGACTCATATTTTGCCATAAATCCGGTTCACAGTTACTACACACTAAAACATTGCTATGGAGTCTGATTCTGAATATATGCTTGAAATGGACAATTATTCTTACTTAGAGGAATATTTTTGATGAAGATAGCACTTCAGATGTGTCTGATATCAAGAATTCTGTAAATTATCATCATAATAATAGTAACAAGGTTTGTTTACTTTTTTCATTCATACTCAACTCACGCATACCGCCACGAATCTGAATGTCGAGGATAAACAAGTCGAGCAAAGTAGGTGTTATAGCACGTGTCTTGACCCAATTTTAACTTCAACATATATCTAAATCATCAACCACTCCTCTCCCTCATTTTTTTGTTTCGATACTAACGTTACCAATTAAATGTGTTGTGACAATCCTTTTCACCCACCCCTCCCTTGATTGACAAAAGGTTGTTTACGTTTCAGTACATTCTAATTTGTTGTAAAGAATTCTACCAGGTGATGCAATTTCTACAATTTTTTCTTGGAGGGTTTCAATTTTATCCTTATAAATAAAGCAGCAATTTTCCCAGACAGGAGAGATTCTTGCTATTTTTCCCCAGACAGGAGAGATTCTTGCTATTTTTCCCAGAAATTTACAAGCTAAATTCTAACTCTCCATGAGCAGATGATTGGACTTCATAAGCCACCTCACAGCCCGCTCCCTACTGTCAAATCAAGTGTACCCACATACCTTTCCATCAGTGTAGAAAATCAATTCAATCATTACTCTCTAATATCTAATATCTAATAACCAATCTAAGACTGGAACAGAAATGAAGAATTGGCTAAAATTCATGCGTTAATCAACTATTTCTTTTAAATTATGCCTACCGCAAAAGTAAATATTGATTGGAGTGGAGAGATTTTTTTCACTTCTGCTTGGTGGTATGCTGGTATGTCATTGACCAAGCCTAACTCCTGAGGATCCCACCCTACAGATGTTGAAGGGCTGTAACAAGGCAGACAAGGGAAGTTTATAAAATAGGTGAGATACAACATGAACCAGAACAAAAAAATAAGGTTATGAATAACATTTTTTATTTTTTTACAATTATATATGCTTCAGTTTTAAAAGATAATAATTGAAGGACTCCATTCAAGCTGTGTGAATGAAATAGTAAAACAAGTTATGTTGAATCATCCGGCAGAAACAAAGGAGATCTCTAAAGTTTTTTTTTTACTGTGCTCCGTTTCTTGCATTTTCATTTGTCTTGTTTGCTGAAGAAGGCATTAAGTCAAAACGTTCACATCTTATTGTCTTGGCTTTTTATTCAAGCTTTCACATACCTTGTTCAACGATTTCATTCTATTTTAAACTGGTTCAGTACTGCGTGAATAAAATTTTTACCTCTGAAAGACTTGGAAACTTGAGGTAAGCGCTGGTTTGCAAAACGCCATCAATGTACACAAACACCTGACCTTGACTGCTGGAGAACCTCCTGCCAGCAATATGGCCAACACATACAGAATGCTGAAATAGTGTGAGCATTAGATTTTTTAATCACAGTCTCCCTTATTGTTGCACTTATACGTGTGTGTGTGTCAATAACAATTTTACCTCAATTATATTTTTTTCTTATAGTTTCTATGTTGGTGACAGTTATGTAGGTAGTTAGTTCTGTGACACAGATATGTAGGTGGTTAGTTCTGTGACACAGTTATGTAGGTGGTTAGTTCTGTGACACAGTTATGTAGATGGTTAGTTCTGTGACGCGGTTATGTAGGTGGTTAGTTCTGTGACGCGGTTATGTAGGTGGTTAGTTCTGTGACCCAGTTATGTAGGTGCTTAGTTCTGTGACACAGTTATGTAAGTAGTTAGTTCTGTGACACATTCACACCCATTCTTCTCCAGCCTGCCTACTGTACTGTAAAATTCCCTGTGACACCTGATGCCCTGTCATGGGGGGCCTACTGTAAAGTACCCTGTGACACCTGATGCCCTGTCATGAGAGGCCTACTGTAAAGTTCCCTGTGACACCTGATGCTCTGTCATGGGG